TAAATATGACAACAAATTATTTAATTTGCATGACTACCCACATAGCTCAGTTGATTTGTACTATGTCAGCAATGTGAGCGATCGCTGGTTCGAATCCAGTATGTTTAGTTAGATTTTTGAATGCTAGTGAAGACAGTGCTCCTATGAATAGGACTTAAATCCTAACTCCTGTGTGAAGACACTCGTGGTACAGTGGACAAGACAGTGCGCTGGGAACTCAAAGATCGCAAGTTCGAATCACGGATTGGACACTCCTACAAAAGACATGAAAGACGTTAAAAACATAAACAGCGGATTCAAAAACTCAAGTCAGGAAAACAGAACACAAGAATACTACCCCACATGGAAGCCAGTCGAAGTCGTCGAAGAACGAACACAGTCGAAGAACGAACACTGTTGACAGCTGTAGGTCACGTGCAACAACAGACACGAGGACCATGGCTGCACCCTAAATGGGTCCCTTCTTTTGTATTGACCCCCTAAGGATTGCTAATCCCCCTTTCTAACTCTTCCCCCAAAAATAATATATCGCCCCTTTTAAAATGTATTGAGCCACAAATTAATGAATATTCATGAGCACAGAAACTGCTACGTCATGAATAAATTAGCATAATTTTAAAAAATTTGCATAAAGTGTAGGTACTCCTTCTGGAGCTCTGCCTAGTATTCTTACACCAATACATAAACAGGGTAATTATCTCAACACTAACAACTACTGAGGTGTATCAGTCAACAGCAACATTGGCAAACTATTCTATGCAGTACTAATCAGAAGACTGATCAAATATTTAGACAAAAACCATATTATACGCCCAAATCAAGGTGGTTTCTGAAGCAAACACCATACAACAGATAATATCTCATCACACTACATACCTGCATGATTAAAAAATATCAAGATGAAAGAAAAAAAAATATACTGATGTAAGGATTGATGTACAAACTACAAAGCAACAATATAAATGGTGGCTTATATACAAGTTAATTGATAGCATGTACAACAATAAGAAATACAAACTAAAGTTCGGTGACAGTGATAATAACAACCCCATTCCAGTTGAGCGAGGCTAACCGAGTCGTAACCTCGGTGTGGTTTGTAACCAGTCTTATGATTGGTTGTTGACACATTCTAAACAGGCCATGCCTCCAACTGTGCCGTGCGTTTGGGCCAATTATTCATAAATGAAGTCAATTTGTGTACTTTTCTTGATTTATTCTGCAGATATAGGTAAGGCTTTGGCGAAATTTACAAGAGCAACTAATATTCTTCAACCTGGTATTTTTTAGAGATTTTATTTTTCATTCTGTTCGTCTTTTTTTTCCAGTTTAAAAAATATGAGCTCGCTGGAGTCTTCATCCCTTGTCTATTCTTTACACTAGATACCAGCCGATATCCCCCTCTCCCCTTATAGAGACTGCGTATAGTTGATTATAGTTCATGGGCTCCCTGTGTTGGAATGAAACAAGGCTGAACACTGTTCAATATATACATCAAAGACCTCATCGATGAACTAAACAAACAACCATCAAATCAACCATCATTGAACAAGAAGTCAAACCCATGCCTGTTATATGCAGATGATATTGTACTTATGTCTGAGAGTGTGCCAGGACTATGACAATTGATTGATACTACACACAACTACCTGAATAAATGGGGATTACAAATCAAGACCAAATCAATTATATTTGCCAAAAATGGACACAACTCAGATAGGATGCATATCAAAGTTGGCAATGAGGAACTAGATAAAACAACACATTACATATATTTTGAAGTGAATTTTAATACAAATGGTTCAGTGAATGCAACAATACAATAGACAGGTTATCTGACAAGGCTAGGAAAACTGAAAGGGCTCAACTCCATCTTTTCAGTGGTAGTAACAACAACCATGTAAAATTGAAAACAAAATGGCCTGAAACAACTCAACTGCCAATTTTAACATATGCTGAGGAAATATGGAGACTATCGGTATACACAAAATGGAGTAGATGGGATAAAACTAGCACAGAAAGATATCACCTGAATTTTCATAGGCATATAGTAAATGTAAATAACACTACCAGTAACATTGCTGTAAGAATGGACACAGGGCGACTACCACTGTTATGTAACATTCAATACAAAGCTCTCAGATTCTATAAACACCTAAAATCCATTGAT